TTACTCCCAGTCCATCCTTCCTCCCCATCTAACTTCAACAGTGTAAATTCTAATACCTGCTAATGTGATCATATCACTTTCCTGCTCAAATTTCAGTGGTTTTCAAATGAGGAAGAATTTGAGGGGAGGGGATCTAAAAAAGTTTATATAATTTATTATTACTAAAACTTGTTTTCATGACACACATGAAAAAAATGAAAATTTTGATTGGTGTAAAACAGGTTTAAAAATTTTTTCTTAAATACTATAAGACCCTTTACAAATCGATAAAGGATCAACTGCCACTCTTCCTAAATCACTGTTCTCCTCCAATCATTCCGAAGTGCTGGATGTTTCCAAAACACACTCTGCAATCGCACACTTCCCTGCCATTACACAGGCTATTGCCTGCACCTATCCTTCCCACCCTATCCTCCATAACTTAATCTCTAAAACTCAAACTTCGGGGGCCAGCCCGGTGGTGCAAGTGGTTAAGCGCCTGCGCTCCGCTGCGGCGGCCTGGGGTTCACCGGTTCAGATCCCGGGTGCGCACCGATGCACCGCTTGGCAAGCCATGCTGTGGCGGTGTCCCATATAAAGTGGAGGAAGATGGGCATGGATGTTAGCCCAGGGCCAGTCTTCCTCAGCAAAAAGACGAGGATTGGCAGATGTTAGCTCAGGGCCAATGCTCCTCACAAAAAAAAAAAAACAAACTTCGCATTTTTCAGGGAAGTCTTTTCCTGAGTCTCAAGATGCCTTAGGCTTCCTTTCTCTCTTATTTACTCTATTTCCATTTTTAGAGTTATTTACTACAAAAAAATGATAGATGCATATAGGGTTTTAAATATAAATATCAGAAGAACTTATAATGAAATCAACTGTGCCCTGCCCCTGTACCTGGATCCTTAGAAATAACCACTTTTTGATTCTTTTAGTAGTTTTTTCTGGTTCTTAAATCTATATCCTAAATAAAAAACAGTAATACAAGCTTATTCTTTCCAATTTTCAATGCTATCTATTTACTTCTTGCTACGCAGAAAAAGATTTAGCTCACACCACTCTCTTACATCTCGCCATCCCATCTTCCTAATATAGATCTATCATTAATTTCAGTTCTTCTATTGATCCCTTTGCAACTTGAATATAATTCTATCTCAATTTCTCATTTCATCAACAAGACAGTATCTCTTTGTAAAATGAGGATGTCAGCACTTGTGTCCTTCCCTTTATTTCTTCTTCCCTCTTTCACCTCCCAATTTGTCATTTGTACTTACACATTTTTTTCAAGACTGAAATTAAGTCTTCCATACTTTATTCATAGGTTATAAAAGTTTTAAAAAATCATTAACAGTAACTACCCTATTACGACAATGTGAATACTACTCATAAAGTGAGTAATAATTACATTTCCTGTCTTCTACAGTTTTTCTGTTTTGTGTTTTCCCCTTCTGATATTTCTAATTGTCTTTCTTTTTTTCTGCCACTGTTTGCCTTTACTATAACCCTGATAATACCACAAAACTCTAACACAAAATCAGGGTCTTTCTCAAGTTTAACTCATTGTGCATTAGTATAGTATGGGAGAAGAAAAGATACAAGATAAAAAATTAACACAAAGTTTAAATATAGCAAGACACCACAAATAATTTGCAAGTAATAATTAGGGTACAAAACAACAGATTGTGTAAAGAAACTATTATGAAAATTCCTATGTCTGAAAAATGTTTTAGGATGAATGAAAAAAATAAAATACAGTGATATATGCAAAAAGATTACAACCATGCAAATATGTATCATATGATCCCCATAACCAGACCAAACCCAAACTAATCGCCCAGTGGTTTTTGAAAGGACCTGAATATCACCCTCCACTTCAACCCAATCTCCATCAATTTATCTCTTAAATTAAGAAGACAGAATAACAAGTGGAAAATAGTTTAAACAACCAAACTCTCTCCCATTCTTATGTTAGTAAGGATAGAGAGAAAACTTTGCTTAATTATGGTACCATGATATCATACACTGAATTAAGAAAATCAAAGGTTTATAATTTCATGGCTCCTTGAATTGCTAGCCATCATTTCAGAGAGTAATTAATTTTTTAGGTCACTGAAAATCATGAGCCTAGAAAAGGAAGAATGCCAGCTTGTTTACATCACATCATTACACTATAGGATTAGTTTTCAAAGAAGCACATCAATTTTCATAAACTCCATACCCATTTTAATTCCTCTAAATTATTCTATTATCTGGGTTTAGAAGAGAATTAAGAGGGGAAAAAAAGCATTAATAGTATAATAAGGGAAAAAAGTTGATTAACTCATTAGTAAAAACAGCCCTGAAAAAAGTCATAGCTAATGTTTTAACCTCAAGGACAAATGCTATCTATTTTATTAAGTGAGCAATTATCAGTAAATTTATTGTAAATACCTTTCGACTCTTTTCAGCAACTTTTTCATCTGCAGAGATATGGGTACGGCACCTAGATAAAGACAGCAGTTTCCAATGTCTTACTAAAATTCAATAATCTAAGACCTATTTCATAGCTATATTAAACTAAACCATCCCAAATTGTCTAAACTGTAACCAGCTTCTTTTCCCCAAAGTCCAATATGTGACAACGTGATTTATTCAACAGTATACTTTTTCTCTAAGAAAAGTGTCCAAATAGTCCCTAAACTGCAAATTACTTTTTTCAATTATGAAATGTCAGACATACAAAACTGTATAAACAAATATATAATGAATATCCATGTATCTACCACCCAGCTTGAGAAATAAAACATCTCAAAAATAAGAGATCCTATGTGCAGCCTACTCAATGACATTTCTTTCCTTCCTTCCTTCTCATAGGTAAACAAGTTTAAACTTCCAAACTGAGTTTACCATGCACATCTTCACTTTTACTGGGAACGTATGATGTATCCCTAAACAGAAAATATTATGTAGCATTTTAAACATTATGTATCATAGTGTATCTTTCCTCAACTGATTTGTTTCACTCAACATTACATCTGAGATATGCTGATACATACAGTCCTAGTTCAATCATTTTAACTGCTATATAGTATTCCACAGTGTGAATTTTTCCAAATTCATTTTTTCAGAATGTTAGTAGTTACTTAGGTTGTTTCCAAATTTTCACAATGCCAAACAATGTTGCAATGGATAGTCCCATACATGACCCCTTGTACATAACATATGTGTGAGCTTTTCTAGGGTATATACCTAGGAGTGGGATTGCCAGGTGGAAAAAAGACATGTACATCTTCAACTTTAGTAATGTCACACTGTTCTCCAAAGTGGTTATAACAATTTACACTCCCACTTGCACTATGTTCCCACTGCTCCACAACTAGGTAACAGTACTATCAGAAATCTCAATTTTCGTCAATCTTATGGGTGTGAATTGGTAAAGTCATTGTGATTTAATGTGCATTTCCCTAATTACTTGTGAGGCTGAACAAATTTGCACGTTTACTGCCGTTCAGGTTTCCTCTTCTGTCAATTGCCTGTGATATCCATTACTTACTTCCATTACTTACTTTTCTACTAGATGGTCTTTTTCTTTCTGATTTGTAACAATTATTTTATATTCTTGATACTAATCCTTTGTCAAACATGTATTGCAATTTTCCTTATAGTCTGAGTTTGCCTTTTCACTGCTTTCATGGTGTTCTGATAGACAAAAATTTTTAACCATCTGTTCCTTTACAGTTTGTGCTCCTTATGTGACAGTTATTCTTGGCCCTTTATTATTCCAGTCCATTAACATGGTATCTCTCCATTAACTGAATTCTTCTTCAATGTCTTTCAATAACATTTTATAAAAGTCTTACACAGCTTTTGTTAATAGTCCGTTTTTTTCTATTACTATTGTAAATGGTATTTTTTATATTACATTTTTTGTTTGTTGCTATTGTATAGGAACTTGATTTCAGTATACAGAATTTATATCCAGCAATAATATATCTAGTTGAACTTAAGTCTAATTAAGTTTTTAAGAGATTTAAACTCTTTCACTCTTAACCAGTAGGCAACTGAAGTACCCTCCAAATAGCTCTGAAGTGAAGGAAACTGCTAGGCCTACTTCCCACTCCTTAGACCTACTTCCCACTCCTTAGACCTTCTCAGCATCAATAGAGATGAAGAATTACTCTTTCCCAACTCATTGCTACTTTATATGGTGGTTAATGAGATAACAGGAAAAGCAAAATGTCTAGCGCAAAATAAGAACCCGTATCTTCTTTCCCTTCTCTCTCTCACACCCTAATCCCTAGTTAATACAAGGCTTATTAAACCAGAAAATGGAATAAATTTTCCTGAGCAAGTCATCATGCTCTCTATATTTTCATCTCATCAGCTAAACAGGTAAAAAAAATTTTCTAACTGCATCTTACCTGTTCAACTAGTAGAGTAACCAAATTTAGAATTTAATGCGTTACTCTTAAAAGATAAAGGAACTAACCTTTGTTGAATCATCCACTTATGTCAGTTATGCTAGTAGCATGTATTACTTCATTTAACACTTCAACTGGGCGCATTTTTCTCATTTCATAGGTAAAGAATCTAGGATTCATAGATTAAAAGACTTGTCCAAGGTTAAATAGCTACAAACCAGCAAAACTAGTATTTTAATACCAATGTGTCATGCTCCAAAAGCATATGTTATTCACATTTATACACTGTCTCCTAGAAATAACCAAGGGAAGTTAATTATCTCTAAATTCCAGCTCCTCTCCTTATCTACTAATCAGAAAAAAGCTAGAGAATAAAGGAACCAGGTCACTTACCCAGAGCTCCCAAACGGAACATTTAGTTTGTTTACGGTCATAAAACAACAGCAACAAAAAACAACAATCCAAAGGGAAACAAGACTTACGGCTGTTTGAAAGGCTGTGTGTGGGCAGCTGTGGTCTTCATGTGGGCAACATTAACTTCCTCAGAGAGCTCTTCCACAGTCTCAATGTCCACCTGCTCCTCATCATCCTCAATGTATTCTACACAGTTATTCTGAAATACAACATTCCAACAGTAAATAAAGTTTTGAGAAACAAGCACATCTCGACTTTTCAACTGAATGTTCCCCTTATAAAACCAACCAGTGCCAATGATCTTATACCATGAGTACTGATAATCCTAAATTTGTTAATTATAAGGAGGAATTAAGTCATAAAGACAACATATGATTAGAGCTAACGACCGAGAACTACAGTATAAATCACAGATATATATTAAACAGACGTCATTAGACTGAACAGTGTGTCCCCAAAGGGCTGTATTGATGCTTCAGTATTATTTCTAGTGGACAAAATTCAGGTACAGATGTATTAAAGCTGCATAAATCTTAAGATTAAATAGCAGTAAAATAAAATTTGGTGAGAGGGAAGGTGGAAAGGAGAACAATTCAGGTTCTATTTTAAGAGTGCTTCATGGCTAACCCCATATCAGACACCCACAAAAAATACTCAAGGCAGATAGGGAAATAGACTATAGCCCAGACGGTCTTCTAAGACTCTCAACCCCACAGAATGAGAACTTCTGAAGAATCTCGGGTATCAAAAGAAGCCCAGGCTTGCTGTACTTGATTATACCAAAAAACGAGTCAATCAGTAAGCATTTATTGAGCACCTGTCACAGAAACTCACTGTGTATTTTATATAACAGTAGAATATATGGATTACGGATATGCAGATATTTTTAAGTCCACCTTTAAAAGTAGTGTTTACTATGCCAGAAACTAAACAGGGAATATATTATCTATAATCGTACTGTACCAGAGAGGCACAACTCAAAATGAGGCATCCCAATCACCTTATTAATTCTATGTTTAAACCTGTTGGAAAAATTACTTACCCCCAAATTAGAGGCTCCATAAAGCTGACAGACACTAAATGCAAGCCATCATTTTATGTTCCCCAATTTAAGCACAATTTAAACAATGTATATTAAAATTAACTCTAGGAAGCTAAATCAACAGAGTCTCAACAGAATCTAAAGAGCATGAATAGCAGCAATGTAGGTAGATGCTTTACAATATTTAAACTGAAGAATGTCTGCCTACTGCATGGCTTTAACTGCAGGCTTTATAAATAATATCTAATAAATCTCACAATGAAAGATTTAAATTAAAGAAGTTACAACTTTCCTTACACTATTCCAATACAATGCTAATCCACAATCATAAAGATATCATAGGTGATGGATATGTACATGAATACAACGTAGAATTTAGATTTTAGAGATCATTTAACATAATACCCTTACTTTAAAAAAGGTCAGTATACCCTCTATGTCAGATTCCCTCCCTATTAGGAAATTCAAGCAATGCCACCTTGTATGATTAAGACACTCTAAAGGTTCTATTAAGTCAATTCTACTGATAGCAATAGTTTTCACTGGTTTTAAAGTTGGACTGTTTTTGGTCTGATGCTTACTCAGGCTGACTTACAATGGGAGACTCTACAAAAGGCACCAGAAGATCTGCAATCTAAATCCTAAACTCAGTGAATTCAGATTTCTTCAGCTACCTTCAGACATCCACCCTCGAAAAGGATTAGGCTATAGATAGACTATACAGCAAATGCATATAGAATCATCCAATTGTGAAGCTAGATCCTCATTTTACAAATGAGACAACTGAGGTACAGAAATAACCAACATAGGAACACTAAAATATTTAAACATTTTAGAGTTTTAAAATACTAATCTTTTTGTTATATTTTATCTGCATAAGGCAGTAAGGTATTAACAGAGAAGGACCAGGTAACACAGAGGCTGAATGAATCGCAAGTGAGATTCTAAAACAACCAATTGCATGAAAATCAGTGCAGAGGGCCATATTATCTGCTACTAAAGACAGGGACACAGTTTAGATTTCAGGGCACCTCACAGGCAGCTGGCTATAATCCTATGTTTTACATCAGATCCCATGTCAGGGGTCAGCAAATGACAGCCCGCCATCTGTTTCTGTAAATGAAGTTTTATTGGAACACAGCCACACTCATTCACTTACTATTATTTATGGCTGCTTTCACACTACAACAGCAACTGAGTAGTTCTAACAGCAAGCCACCTAGCCTGCAAAGCACAAAATATTTAAAATCTGGTCCTTTACAGAAGAAGTTTGTCCAACTCCTGCCCTGTAACATACCTGACTCTCACAACCCTAAAACAGGAAGTCTCCAAAAATGGCTTCAGAAAAATAAAATAAATAAATTATAAAGGTCATATTACAGAAGAAATGACCAAAGTTCAGAATATAAATTCTGGAAACTAATTATTTAATTTTAGGAGATAATTAAAAAGCACCTGAAGGCAGGGTTATATTAAAATATTAAATGGTATTTTCCATTTTTCTCCAAAAATAAAAATATCTCTATATGTGCAGGCAGATAAGTTCTCCAGTTCTAAGGTCACTCATTCTCTGTTTCTTATATATCTACCAAATAAGCTACAATCACTTCATAGAGAAAATGTCAAAGAAACTAACTGAGATCAAATGCAAGTAGTGGTTTCAGGATTTCTTTTTTTAAACCCAGTTGCGTAGGGACTCCCAAGCATCTATCCCCCGAAGGCTTAAGCCACCTTCCCATAATATTAGACAAGTCTCAAAGAACAATATAAGCTCAATAAATGTTACCTGACTGACACAGCCTAAAAACTACAAAGTCATTTAATCATGATCTAAACCTAGGCACCCAAGTGAATGCCTCAGGTCTTAGTGATCTTCTGGAAAAGCTACTGTCTCTAATAAATTATTTAAATCCTTGAGGTTTCAGTCACAACAAAAATGGGCTCACCACTTTTTCTACATCATCAACCTCCTCACTCTGGTAGTCAGAAACAACATCCACAATCTCATCAATAGAATCATCGGTTTTCTCATTCTCATCTTCCTCATCTTCCTCTTCCAGATCCAAAACAGCAAAGTCAGCACTGCTTCTCCTACCCTTCTTCTCTTGCTTTGGTTGTATATGTTCTCCTGAAAGCAGTAAGTGCCCTTGAAAATGTCCTTCCCCTCTGCTCCCTTTTGTAGCTCTCCCGGGAACAATGGAGAAGGCTGCAGGACTAGAAATCCTACTCCAAGAATCACATTCAGTTTTTAAAACTCCGACATTCTCAGTAGTTCCATTTTTTCCAAGTAAATCAGAGATGCCTTGTTCTTGTTGAAACAAATCTGAATTTCCCTGACAAGTCTTTGTTTCTTTAACTAACTGCTCGTCTCCATCCTTCTTGCATTCTTGTGAAGTTCCACCACATTTTGGGGTCAAAGGGCCCTTCAAGTGTTTTCTCCATCTCTCCCTAATACTGTCCTTCTCCAGAGAGTCTCCACATCCCTTCTCCTTGGCCTCTGGCTGTGGATTAGATTGCTGCTCCACAACTTTGCTGCCTGATAATTCGAGTTTACTTTCTTCCTTAGAGATGACCGGAAATTCATTTGATTTTTCCTCTGGATCATCTAATCCTTTCTGCTGTTCCACTTTCACACCACCAAGTTTTTTAAGCTGTACATTATTTACACTTTGGACTGTCATATTACTGGCTTTTTCAGAAACAGTCTTAACTTCTAGAACAGTCAGTTTTTCTTTGGAATTGTTATGATTCCTAATCCCAAACTCTTCATCACTATCTTTACAGTCTTCACCTGTGTGTGACCCAGTGCTACAGGAGTGCTCACACGGTTTAACGGTCGCAGGACCTTCTTTTATAAGCGATTCTTCATCTAAATGATCACCCCCATCTTCCAAGGAATCATTCAGGATTTCTTCAGAGGGAGTAGCTCCTAAGTTTTGCTTTATTATATTAGCCTCAGGGTCTATACCTTCTCCTTCTGACTGTAGGGCCTTCTTAGTCGCCTGCTCTCTTTTTAAAAAGCTTGTTTGATCTTTCTGGTCTGCATTCTGCGATTCTCTCTTCATCTGAAGAGAGGCAACATGTTGAAGAATGGAGCTTGGAACAGGCTTTTGTCCTGGGAGCTGCAACAAGGCAAAACTACCAGACTGGAGAGGAATAAGACTGGCTGTACCAACAGGCTGCCCTCCTGAGCTGTAGGTTATTTTGGTTTCAGAGCCTGTTTTACTCGCAAAGCTTTGTGGTTCAGGAGGGGAAATCCTAAGGGTCAATGTACCAGACTGAGACACAAAACTAGGTCCAGAAGAAAGCAACGATGGTGCCTGAGTGATAACATTCACTGCTGGAGAAGACCCAACAGCCTGAATTACAGGATTCATAACAGAGAAAGCAGAGGACGAAGCAGAAGATGGTGGAGTCTCTGAAGGTTTGGAAGGAGTGGGTAACCGGATTCCCATCACAGACCCTGGCAAGAAAAAGAAAATTTTAAATCACCATTGCCCATCAAGACTTTCAAGGCATGCTTTTGTTTTTGGAAGGTGACTCTAAGAGACTAAGACGACCAATCCTCATGTTTTAACATACCATATGGCCAAAGGATTCAACAAAAGAAAAACTCATCAGAAAGATCTCCAATTTTATACCTGGGTTCCGAAACACGACAGGCTGTAAGTTGGGCTGGGTATTAGAGCCTCGAAGCTGATGCAAAGGGAGGAGCTGGACAATCTGCCCATTAGGGTGCCTGAATAGGTTCATTCCACTTGGGCTCCTAACAGGCTGCAAGACCATCCGATGTCCCTGAAGTTGTGTGTTTGGGACAGGTCTAAGGGTAGGAGAACCCTGCTGCACTGGAATCAACAACAATCGAGGTCCAGGACGTTTCACTGTGTTAGGAGAGACCTGTGGTGTAGCCACTGGAATCTGAGGGGCATTTTCTGAAAAACAGGAAATGGAAACATAGTATTAGAATTTCCCTTTAACATACATAGGAAAAAATTATTATGACGTAGGATCTGACCATGCTACAAATAACTTCTAATTTGAATTATAAACTTGGTGAAACCCTATACCTCTATGATATACTACTTAATAGTCCTACAGCTGAGAACAATTTATCTTAAACCTAAGTATTAACCAGACACTGCAGGGCCTTACATTTGGAATGGTAAAAAAAGAAAGCATCAATTGTCAAGAGGTTCATTTAAAGAGATAACGCTTCTGCCTAATGAAAAACTTGGGTATGCCTCTAAATTTGGATTATCATGAAAGTTAAAGAGATCATTCATGATAAAATTCTCTTCAACATTATTTTTTTTTTTATAATTTTATTTATTCATTTATTTGTTCCCCCAAAGCCTCAGTAGATAGTTGTATGTCATAGCTGCACATCCTTCTAGCTGCTGTATGTGGAACGCGGCCTCAGCATGGCCAGAGAAGCAATGCGTCGGTGTGTGCCCGGGATCCGAACCCAGGGCCGCCAGCAGCGGAATGCGCGCACTTAACTGCTAAGCCACAGGTCCGGCCCTCTTCTTCAACTTTAAAATTCAGGCTGTTAACACTTAACTAGACTTACGACTTAGTTTCACAGGTCATACTCAAGTAAGATAAAGTCAAAGACCAAAAACCATGAGATATAAAAAACTTCTTGGCTTTTAAAATTCACTGACAAATAAGCAAAGTGGATTTGTGGAAATTATTTTTCAAAAGGAAAAAAAAATACATACCCCCACAAAAATGGAATGAAATTAAGAGACATCAAAGAAGCAGGGAAGTAAAGCCTGGTTAGGAAGAGGCAAAAGACAGTTTTAAAACAAATAGAAAAAGTAGAAATCTAATGCAGAAGATGTAAATTAAAAGAGATTTCAAACCATTAATAGTACCCAAAGGTGCACTTTAATGTCTAGAGGACATATTTAGAAATACTAAAGACAAGGGAAAAAATAATATGAGTAATCCACGGATATATTTTCGGCCATTGGGATAAAGAGGTAGGAATAATGATAATAGTAAGCATAAATGACACTGGTCTAACATTACCATTCAAATTAGTGAACTCATTTAAAATTATTAATAAATAAGATTTTTCACTAAATAGAAAAATCAACAAACCAAATAAAACAAAGATTTTAGCTTAACATGTGATATACTATCAGATAAGCACTCTGCCCACAAAATATATCAAATTTCTTTTTTTTTTTTTTTTTAAGATTTTATTTATTTTCCCCCCTAAGCCCCAGTAGATAGTGGTATGTCATAGCTGCACATCCTTCTAGTTGCTGTATGTGGGACCCGGCCTCAGCATGGCTGGAGAAGCAGTGTGTCAGTGCATGCCCGGGATCTGAACCCAGGCCGCCAGCAGCGGAGCGTGCACACTTAACCACTAAGCCACGGGGCCGGCCCCGTTTTTTTTTTTTTTTTTTTTAAAGATTTTAGAAGGTTTGAAATCCATGGTTTTTTGTTTTTTTTTTTGAGGAAGATCAGCCCTGTGCTAACATCTGCCAATCCTCCTCTTTTTTGTTGAGGAAACTGGCCCTGGGCTAACCTCTGTGCCCATCTTCCTCCACTTTATATGGGACGCTGCCACAGCATGGCTTGCCAAGCGGTGCGTCGGTGCGTGCTCGGGATCCGAACCAGCGAACCCCGGGCCGCCGCAGTGGAGCGCGCACACTTAACTGCTTGCGCCACTGGGCCGGCCTCAAATTTCTAAAAGAAAGTCATGCTCCTGACATTTACATGACATATTTTATAAAGAAGATCCAGCACTACTCTTAAAATGAAATAAAACACAAAGACCAAACTGTTCATGAAAAAAAGTGTGCAATTCAAACAAAAACCATTCATCTATCTTATATGAATTAAGAAACATGTTAAAGCATTCTTAATTTCCTGAACATTTCTATTCGAATTAAGTTTTAGAGAGTGATTCAAAACCAAATTACTCAAATTCAGAGAATGAAAGCAGCCTTTAATACACACACTATTGAAATGTGGAAGAGGGGAAGAGGAGAAAGAGAAAAAGAAGGAAAGTCAAATGAAAATACCACAGATGTCTAATTGCCTGAGTTGGGATCCTCTTTATGAACCTAGAAAAAAATTACCCACAATTCCTTAGAAGTAGCAGTTATCTGAATCAGCTCCACTTACAAAAGAGCAAACAAGAAAATTTGTTAACATTAGTATTTCCTCAAGTGGTATTAGAGAAGATACTTTTAGGTGATATGTGGATATAGAATAACACCATATATCACATTGTCAGAAAGTAAGTCCCTTTTCAATTTTAATCTTTGATTATATACAGAAGAAAGTACCAGTCTTTGATGTCTTTAATATTATGCCAACATTTTCTAGCTTTCCTCATTAACAGAGAGAGCAAGCCTCATGCTAAGAACATAGAGTAGCTAGCTAAAATTTAATATTTATTATTATTGTTTCCAAAGAACTACAAAAAGCTAAACTACTACAGTTTCATGATAGAATTAAAAATATAAAGAAGATTGGAATCCTATGGTTTAGAAAACAGCATCAGTTGAAATATGACAAGATATGAACCTTGAGATTCAACAGGAAATCAAAGTAGCTTCATCAACGACTATCTCACTTCCAAAATTATACATTAAACTAATCACTTTTGTATGTTTATTTACAGGGAGATGCAGAAGACAACAAATTTAATACTGTGATTCACTTTTCCTTTCAACAGAACTTCAACTTATAAACTAACTTCCAAATCACTTCTTTCCTAAAATATCAACAGGGATTTGGACCATACCACTAAAGGCAAAAATATTTAGTAGGAGAAATATCAGTAACAAAACCAGAATTGCTGTTGGTTATTTATTTCCCCTTAAATCCTGAAAAGTCTCTCACTCTTTTCCATAGTAATTCCCCTTTGAGTACACTACGAGAACCATTTACCTTAGCTGGTCGAGTTAAAATATAAAAATTACCAAAGTGTAGGATAGTCTTATTTTAAATTCACTTAACCTAAGCCAACAAGAGAGAACTTTTAATTTTAATTAAAAAGTTGATAAACATATAAAATATTAGAGTCCTAAACAAAGAAATATGCTTCCTTACTTTTATTTCGATCACTTCATGTATAATAATTAAGTAGGAGAATAATGTCAGTAGTATATGGGAGTTGGGCTGATTCACAAATGATTACTAGGCAAGAGAACCTAGAATTTTAATCTTCAGCAAGAAGGAGAGAGAAAAAAAGCCCTCAGCTCGGCTGCAGCATAGGCAGAAGCCCTCTGATCTCTTTCTCTTTTTTTTTCTTCAATTTAAAAGCACTACCCCCCACCTCAGAAAAAAAGGGAGCACCTACAGTTGGGTTCCCTCCTCAAATATGTGCACCCCCAGCTCTCAGCACACAGCAGGTTGCACTTCCTCTCGTGCCCACTTTAATGGCTGCTCTACTGGGTCAGAGATCCACTCCCTTATGCGTTATTTCAGAATCCTTCAGCCAACATTTCCATTCTAATGTTGTTAAGTATTTTTAATCTCCTGAGGAAATCTCCAGCCCCACTAAACCATCTGTCAAGGCTGTTCAATTTATCTCCAAGGTACCAGTTATGGTTTTATTAGCGCTCTAGTTACTAAGCTGCATAGATTTTCAGTGATTTGTCCCTACACAGGGAAACACCTACACTGTTACCCTGATATATCTATAATCCTACCACAACCACAAAGTTATATAAATAGCTGTACAGTAAACCAGCTAGTAACTACTAGGCCTTACCTGGTCTCTGGCTCACTGGTGGACTCCCATCAATTCCCGAGAGTATTATGGGAACAGAGCCCAGAGATGAAGTTGGTGTGGTCACCATGGAGGAAGATGCAGCTGTGGTCACCACGACTATGGAGGTGGAGGCAGTGGAAGCAACAGGAAGAGTTATGGTTGGAGGAGATGCTACCAAAGACTTAGGAAAAGCAA